TCATATACGTATGTAAAGGGAATTGAGTGCCCATATTAACCAGTCACCAAACAGGTGTATGCATTGTAAAATGTTCCTCTTAAAGTGTAATCATTCATCCAGGGGGAAATGAACCTTCAACTATCCCCAACTTGTCCTGTGTTATAGCGTGGTAAGGTAGGAGTGGAACGTTCTGGAAGTTCTTGTACATGAAGACAATACGAAAACATACCAAGTCAGTAGCACACACATTTGTCACTTTTATTTATGTGCATGAATAAGGGAATTTGATCACAATGTAATATTTCAATTTTATTTTGTTCTTTGATTTCCTTTTTGTTTTGTATGTTTTTTTATCGTGAATTTCATTTGTGTTTGATGTCATGTCCCTCTACTTCGGAAAATTACAGATTTCATTTGACTGAAATTCACAGGTAAAAATGTAAGGCGCATTGTCATCAAGTCGAGGAATCCTCAGGTCGTTGCATTTTAGCTAAAATGACATATAAATTAATCAAGTTTAGTCCGCAGATACACAGAGTGAAATTACGGAAAATAAAGTAGTGCAGAAAACAATATGCAGAGCTGAAGAGCATGTCTCAATGGTTGTGTTTAACGGATAGGCATCAGATGCGTGCCAAACTTCATACGTTGAATTCCTCTATGACGTCTTATCTTGGAAAAATAGTATTTTGTGGGCGTAGCGATGGAATTGCTTATATTCAGGTCAAAGAAGACTTGGGAAAACGCTTACCCACAACTCAAAGTCGGAAATCAAGGGAGGGTCAATAGCTTCTGGAAACGTAAAGGCCGGTTCATACTTCAGGTGAACGCAAGAACGAAGCAAAATTGACGTCACTAAATAATTGCATCGGATATATCGTCACCGTTTTCACGAAGAGACAAAAGTCTATCCGAAGAGTATATCCAGGTTCAGAGAAAATCGCATTTAAAGTTGGCCTCTTTTGAAAAAGATCGCTTCAAGACTTGACTTTCCCTTGACTACAAAACTACCTCATGAAAGATCAGATCTTAAATGACACAAAACCACAATATCATCGTTATTGGATTTTGTGTGCATTTTGCCTCTTCGTGAAAACAGTCCGTATTGTCGGGTGCCATGTGCAACTCGATACATTTGTAGACATTTCTGGGTGACTTTTGCCTCTTCTTGAAAACGGTGAAATGGATTTTTCCCACAGGTTTGGCCTTTCATGGCAACGTTGTGTCTACAGAGGACTACTGTTTTCGTGAAAACGGTAAACGCGGACCAAGTTGCATTTTGCCCATGGAAATTATCGTGATTTGGCTGATTTGAGTAGAATTGGTAAAACTGATTACACCTCCTTGTAAACAGCACTTAGCCTTGCTGATTTTGCCGAAAAAAANCCACGAACTCGTCATGACTGCTTGAATGCAGAGTATGCAAAGGGTACAAATTACACTGCACATTATGCTTCCCTTTCGGCGGTTACTTGACCATCATACTCTCGTGAATCATGCGGAAAAAGTCTAAGCAAAACTCTGTCACTTATAGAGGTCACATGCGCGTAATTCACAAGAGATTACATTGAAATCTAACACTCGGTTCAGACAGACGTTCTGGAGTTGCGCCAAACCAATTCGAATTAAGAGCGACTAGGAACAATTCAATTAAATATTGGTTTCAGACGGACAAACTTAATTCAGACATTTTGCATTGGTCCAGCCAATGGAAAGAGGGACGTTTGTGAAACCAAGTCGCGGTCAAGTTCCAATGTCGAACTTCCGCCTGCTACAATCCGAGACAAAATTTTTTGGACACTTGCCAATAGCCATATCTTCTCCGGTCCCCACCCCCACTCCCCTAGTCGATGTGGGGATGTCCGGTCGGGATGCAGACCGCGCGCATAGACCCAACATTGTGTCTACCGTGCCGTTTGGCGTGTGTTTTCTGGCTTTGTGGAAAACAAAAAATGTCAGCCGACATTTTAGAGTAGGCAAATGTATATTTTGGGCAAATTTGGCAATCAAAAGCAAGATGATTATCCATTTTGTATTGTGCGTGTACAGCCAGAACTGTTTGCAGGAGTGCATCGTAGACGACACATCATGGCATTGTTGCTCATAACTGTGCAAAATTCATGTGTTTCGTTAATGTGAAGGGCCTATTTTAGTACAGAAAAATACGGTGTCCATCATGCCATTTTAATGCTCAGCAACTCGGGAAATGTTGAATGGTCAGTTCTTATATTGATTTTGTAGAAACATTTAAGAAATGACAGGTGCATCTTCCCAGTATTCTTTTTTAGTTCGAAAAGGGATATATTTGACGATATTACATTTCAATCAGATCAAAATTAAATGTAACGTGGGTTACCGTGGGAGAAAACTATGCACCTTTAGCAGGAGACAATGGGGTAAAACCAAAGCTTTACTGACTGGACATCCATTGCATTCTGG